CCAATCTATAAATGAAAATTTGGGTGAGTTTATTCTGAGCTTAAATCTGAGGATTATAACCCGGGAGAGTCTTTCCACAAAGGAACAGAGCACTCCAAAGAAGTCGGGGTATAAGGGTGGTTATATACCCTCAAAGAGGATGTTTCACATAGGATTGAAATGTCCCTTTTACAATAGTCGCGAGACTGCTCTGTCGGCACAGCGATTGATGGAAATAGCAGGTAGGTCTGCTGTCTCGGTGAACACAGCAGGGTGGCAGTCTGTTGTCTCCAGCTGGGTGGTCACAGGTGAGCTGGGAGGTGAGTGCAGCAATCAGTTCCTAGCCTAAGGAAAAATGCTTATCCCTAAGGAAATGCTAATGTGGGGGAAAGTTGCACCTTTATCTCAAGGGCCTTTGTTCTGGCCATAGGAAATGTCTAAGTAGATATGCAATGCGTGCTCAATAGCCACAGTCAGGCCCTTTTGAAAAAAAAAAGTCAGGCCCAATTAGGTTTATACCAAATGGCTTCCTCATATACTGCAATATATCCTATTGCTTGCCATTTTTATTTGTCAGGACCATCCTTTAAATGCTGTGTTTCTCTGAATTCTATTCCAGTCCCTTCTTTTTTTCTTATTCTTCTTGGTTGAAATCATTCACTGTGACTTCAATTATCATCTATATATTGATGACTCCTAAACTTCTCTATCTAGCCAGATCTTTCTCCTGAGCTCCAAACCCATATATCTAACTGCCTACTAGTCATCTCTACCTGGATGGCCCACAGGCACTTCACACAGCCTACCCAAAAATGACTCACCTTCACCTGCCAAACCTGCCCTTCTTCTCATTGTCCCACCTCAGTGAATAGTACCACTGTCTTTCCAGTCGGCCCGTCATTTAGAAACCTGAAACTCATACTCCCCTTTCAACTTCTCATTTCTTCCCACATACACATTAATCACCAAGTCCTACTGATGCTACACGCTAAAAAGCTCTCAAATCTATTTACCTGTATCCACGGTGCCACTACGCTAGTCCAGGACACCGTATTTTCTCATCCATATTAATATAACCACCTCATAACTGGCTCCCTTGACTCTAGTGTCGCTCACGTTCAATTCTCACACAATTGCCAGAGTGACCTCCCAGGATGTAAATCTAACAATATCCTTCCTTTGATTAAAACCCTTCATTGGTTCCTTTCTGTCCACAGGATAATATCTGACTCTTTCATGTGGGTTATAAAGTTCTTCCGATCTAACATCTAAGTTGAAGTTGCTGCCATCTTGAACTACTTGCAGTGCTCCAAATACTCCATGCCTTTGGGCCTTCACATTCTGAAACACTTCTCCCACCACGCAGTGATGACATGGCAAGTGTCTGTTGATCCTTCTTACCTTTCATTTTATGTCTCTTCCTGAAGTCTGGGCTAGATGCCCCTGCTATGTGCTCCCATAGAACGTGGTACTCCTCCTAACACAGTCCTGTCATTACCTCTTTATCTGGCTTCCTCCCCAGCTGGACTGTGAACTCCATGAGGGAAAGGCCAAGTCTATCTTGCTTGTGACTATATCCCTAGTCCATAGAAAGTGCATGGCCCATAGCAGAGACTCAATCAATACTGAATGAATGAGCAACAAGCCCAGGTAAACTTGAGCCCCATACATTTCAAAAGAGTAAAGTGAATCATACAGAAAGATATAACTTTAAAGAAAATCAGTTATGTAGTCACAGAACATAATTGTTTTCTTTAAAAAGTAAAGAAAACATGAGATAACAGTGTTCAGTTCTGTTGTCGAGGTAGTGGGATTATGGTTTACTTTTTTTCTTCTAATAACCTTATTTAGCAAATTTTCTATTATGAGTCTGTCTTTTATGGTAGAAAAAATAATGTTATAAATTATAAAATAAAAAGTAGAACCCTACTACAAAATGTTATTAGCTCTTTTTCTCAAAATGAATAGAGTATCATATACAGTAAAATATGATCACTGGGTTTTTGCCCCCACTTTTTTAGAAGGTGAATAACAACACAAAATCTCTGCCTTATTTAACACCAACAGAAGTATACGTTGATAACATAACCCAAGTTGCAAAAATCTCGTCACTATCTAGGGCCTGAAACACCACCAGTGCCTGTCATATGGCATTTAAAATTCTATAGAAATTATTTTTAATAAAAAGAATCAGGATTCTGGTTTGATGCACAAAAACAAAACTATCAACTTTATTTTATATTTGGAAGTAAACATGACAAAAATAAGAACTAATTTTTGTCTTTCAAAAACGCTCCATCAGGTTTAGATGACTGGGACAGTCTCCTGTGCTCTGAATGGTTTGCGTTCTTCTCACTGGGAAAGTAATGCTACAGGAGAAAAGTAAAATGGAGTTAAACAACTTAGAAAGACTAGTATACATACATCACACTTTGTAATAAAAGGAAATGACTGCAACAAAGTTCTCAAACCCTATATATTGAATGCTATGACTAACATGTATTTTCAGTTTGCCAGTGTATCATCATCTTATTTTACTGTGAGGCATACAGACAAAATACACTATAGCAAATACCATTGCAATGACAGTTTCTGAATAACAAAATTAACTTCTATGCCCCAATGAATGGCCCACAGAAATCAAGTTTTGTTTGTCTAGTTATAATGTCACATATGTGTACGTGTGTGTGCATGCATACATATGCACATGTATGTACTGCATTAAACTTACACAAAGTAATACATAGGTATGTATAATAATATACATGTATGATTATTATTATATACACTTACGTATCAGCTTATATAAGAAATATGTTATATACACACACATATAATACTATATAAGGATTTTCTTTTGTTTCTCCTGAGATAAGTCACTTTTCTTATTCATCTGGTCCAAACTTCTCCTTTTGCAGCTTGGTGAACTGAGGCCCAGGAAAATTAAGGGATTTTCCCAAGCCCCCACTGTAAACAATGGCAGAACTGGGACTAAAGCCAGAGTCTCCTGAGCCTAAGTTCAATGGTCTGTTCTTCTAATCTCCGCTTCTCTGTAACTGAGGCTAGAAATTAACACATTAAATTTGAGTAACGCATTGCAATTTTCAAAGCATTTTCATAGACGTTATATTGTTTAAGCTACACAAAAAAATCTCAGCTGATGGTATCAAGGAGCTGAAAGGTTAAGTTACTTGCCCATGGAAACACCACTAGTTAATAGCCTGAATCTCCTGACTCCCAGTCCAGTACTCTGAAGTATACCTCTTTTCTCACCAACCATTTTATTCTTGCTCAGCCCTTCACAATTATTTTGAAAAGCAGAGCTCAAGCCAAGGCTAGGGTATCTGTAAGCCTGTGCAAGTGAGGCCTGGGAGTTCTTAGTGTTTGATTCTGGGATCCCCTCTCTCAACCTCTTCTAATACTGCATTGTGTAAGTTTGGAGAGCAGGTAGCTGAAATTAACCGCTAGGATCCAGGATTCAATCACAGAGCTGTCAGACTCCTGAGGCTATGCTCCGTCTCCTGGATATGTAGTGTGGTCAACACTATGGGGGACTATGGCCATTATTATTTATCAAAGGGTGTCTATCATAGAGCCTCAGAGTCAGAGTAGGCAGATTCCATTTCTTTGTTTCCCCTGCAGGGCTGAACTACATACACCAAATAATGTGGTACCCAAACAACTTGGCACATTTTTGTCCGCCTTCCTACCATCCAAATATCCCTAGTGATAATATCATTTCAGAAGCTGATACTCCTGTGGTCCAAACATTTGTGGGTAAAACAAAGCATCACTCAAACCAAGATGATGGCAACAAGAATCAAATATTAAATACTCCAACTTTATACCTTATGGTCAATTACCTTTAGACTCCTGCTCCTTGCCATCATCTAGTCCTTTCTCATCTTCCATTGTTGCCCCTACTACTTCAGTATCCTTCTTTAGTTTGTTTCTTTGTTTCTTCCAATCCTTTAAAACTCTGTTAACTTTCCTTCGTAAATGATTGGTCCATTTGCTGTAATATTAAAAGTTCAAAGTGAAACCTTATTTCAGTGATAGAACAATAACAATGGTAAATTAGAAGGAAAAGGTTATTTGCCTACATAACTCTTTACACATTTCCACCTGATTGTTTAACTCACCAGATTTAATAAATCTGATAGGAAGTATTACATCTGGCTCACTCATATTTATTATTGTAATCACTATTGTCACTCTATATACAGTCATTTTGATCATTTGATCCATCACAAACAGGTGCTGTCTTACTTCCCTCTGCTGACATCAATGTTACCCACCCTTTAAGACCCAGCTTCTATTATCTTGTCTAAGAAGCCTTCCTTTCACTCCTAGCCTATAGGGATACCTCTCTCCTATGAACTTCAAAACTAAATAGTAATAGTTTACATTATATTAGCATCTACAATTTAACAATTTTGGACTTCCCCTATTACATCATTTGGTATTCAATCCTGTACTTCCTTGTATTTGCGTGGACAGTGGGTGAAGGGCGGCACTTGAGAACCTATCATAGGACAAGAACTTGGCCAGGTGCTTTACATACTTTATCTCATTTAATTCTCACAACCATCCTAAAAGGTGGATATTGTGTTTCCTATTTTGCAAATGATTAAATTGGGGCTTAGAAAGGTAAGATAACTCACTCAAGGTCATACACAGCCAGTAAACGGAGATGCTGGCATTTGTACCTAGGTCTGTCTGACTCTAAAGTATAGACTCTTTCCATTAGACCACATTGCAGCATTAGCTAATAATGACTAATAACGACAATCATGATAGACTTCCTATGTGTCAAGGCCTGGATATAAGCACTTCATGTACATGATCTCATTTAGTCTTCATGATGACTTGATGAGGCAGGCACTATTTCTATCATTTCCATTTTTCAGATGGGGAAACTGAGGCACTGAGGAGGAAAGCAACTTTCCCAAAGCCACCAGACTACTCAGCAGTGAAGCCAGGATTCAAATCCAAATCTGCCTAAGTCTAAAGTTCAATCTCTATCCACTATGCTCACCTGTCTCTTTTTTCCCTCTGAGCTTGGAAATAACTTCAGGCTAAAAATTTACCTCTTAACTTTTTATACTCCACAGGGCCTGGTACCCAATGGGTGTTCGGAAATGTTAGCTGATTTTTTGTTTATAGAGCTTTCACTTTCTAAAGACCTAAACACAAGCCAAGGAGAAAAACATAGAAATGCTCAAGGCAGAGGTAAAGATGGAAACCAAAGAGAAAGAAAGAAAGATTTGCATTCAATATGATGAATAGGTGACAGATACATATTCCTATCCTCAGCTCAATGCTAGGTAGCACACAGAAGAGGACACCTGACCCCTGACAGTGCTACGCAGCTATACTGAGCAACCAGATTCTGAGCATGTGGGGCCCAGAGATAGACAAGCCTGCCTTTCAAATGATGACTTTGAAGGCAATACTCACTTTTCTCCCCTAAAACTGCATTACTGAGTTGTCACTGAGCTCTACTAGGTAAGACAGATGTGGAGCAAATAAACACCTTTTTCTCAATTAATCATAAAAAGATCTCCAGGCATAAATGAAATAGTGGGTGAAGGCCAAAAATATATTTCTATGATTTACCTATGGCCTCTTTATGTCACGGTGTTTTTTAACTGCAGTCTCAAAAAAATAATAACTGAAACAACTACATAGTTCTCAGTCCCTTGGGGCCAGATGTGTTTCAGAATGCAGAATATTTCGGATTTTAGAAAGGTAATATGGCATGACATACTGAATATTACATGATACTGTCATGGGTCTGGGTAGCATCTCATAAGCAAACACAGCAATATTTCTGCAACAAAATAAATGAATACTTACTATAAGCATTAAATAATGACTAGAAAGAGTGTCAGGTCAGGTTCAGTTCTGTTGCCAAATGAGTTAGGAAAAAAGCTTTAGGTTTGCAGAACTTTCTGAATTTCAGAATTTTAGATAAGAAATGAAGGACATATTTTCTAATGCTGTGACTTCAATATATCTTACTTTAAACAATTAAAATGACTCTGTTTTCTTTATCCATAGATTTTATTTTAAATGTAATAGTGTACATTGCACCTCAATTTACAAAGAAAAATGTAACACAGCCTTATTACTTTCAAAAGCCAGTGCACTGCTCTAGGCTGCAGAGGACTTGGTTTTAGGCCCAGCCTTCTAACATTCTGAGATGCAAAGTTAGATATGCCACCCAATATATAATGAGGATGCCTAAGGGGAAAAAGGGTTGAAATGATTTGTCTAGTGTCCTAGAAGTGATTTTTCTTTTTCATATAAAATGTCATATATTGTGGCCAGCATACTCACACTTGAAATGTACAGACCCAGTTACCCCATATTCATTCACGGACTGACACAATAGCTCGTTTATGAAATAAATACTATTCTAAATACTAGAGACATAAAGATGAATAAGACATGGGACCTGCCCTCAAGGAGCTTAAAATTTAGAAGAGAAGACAGATATAAGGCTGATAATTACATCACACTGAAATAAGTCCAAGTAGAAGTAAGCAGAGATTGGCAGGAGACAAAGACCCAGACTTACTAAATTAGAATCGCTTGGGTACAGCCCAAGAATCTGTATTGTCAAATATTCCCAAGATTACTTCCATAGAAGCCATCTACAGACCAGAGTTTGAGAAATACTGGTCTAGTGGGCTGATTTTTTCATGTTTCTTAACAATCTCTAATTCATTATATAAACATAAATTCTTTAAGATAATTTAAAGAACATAACATAATTTTATACATAGAAAATTATATAAGTTTAACTTATCATTGGCAGTCACAAAGATAGTCAGAAAATCCAGAGAAATGACTAACTAGATTATTTCAATCATTATATATCGAATTGCCTACTACACGGCCTAGACACTAGTGGTTCCCAAACCTGAGTGTACATGAGAATCACTTGTTGTGCTTGTTAAAACACCAATTGCTGGGCTCTAAGCCCAGAGTTTCTGATTCAGTAGGTGGGGTGGGGGCTGAGAACATGCATTTCTTACATGCTCCCAGGGATGATGATGATAATGGTCAGGAACTCCATTTTGGGAAACACAGTCCTGGACTCAAAGAAATATGAAGCTTGGTCCCTTGTCCTTATGAAAGTTACAATTTAACCAGAGAAAGAAAACTAACAACAGGAAACAAAGGATAATTATGTGTTAGAAAGAATACAAGTGCAGAAAGAGGTCCTGAGAAAAGAGAAAATATTGGGACCTGGAGCAGTTGCAAAACACTTCACGGAAGAGTTGAGGCAGTTGCAACTTAGAAAGAATTCAAATAAGTGAAGAGGATGAAGAAGAACAATCCCAAGGCCTGGGAGCAACATGGGCAAAAGAACAGAGGTAAGAAGAAAGCCTGGCGTATGCCAAGAAAACTAAAGATAGCACCTGGCTGGAGCAAAAGATACAGAGTGTTACAAGAAATAATATTGGAGTTATAGAATGAGTCCGGTATAGATGACTTTGAAAGCCACAGCACTTTGAGTGGACTTGCAGTAACAAGATGCCATTGTGTTTTTATCTACATTTTTTTCTTCCTATTTCCTATAGTAGAAACAGCAAGTAACTCGGAAGAGAGATTGGAGTCCTTGCCTTACCACCATGTAAATCTTAAGCAAGAAGTCAAGCCTCCTGTACCTCTCTGTTTTAGAGATCAAATAAGACAATGTATGTGAGAAAACTATATAAACGCGAAAAAAACAAACATTCTTATTGTTTTATCTGTACCTTTTTTATAGAGTGTGACTTTTACCTTGGATACTTGTACAGATCCCTCATTAGACTGTATGTCCCTGAGAGCAGCAGCATGATCTGCCTCACTTTTTTTGTCCTTCACAGCACCTAGCACACGGCTAGAATCCAGATATTCTTGAATACATTAGAAGTTCTTGATTGAATATAATGAAACGAACTAATAGTATTTTCAGAAGATAAGTCTGTCAGGACATTACAAGATGGATTAGAAGGAACAGATTAGGAGCCCAGGTATATGTACAAATCGGCCTAGCAAGCATCCTTACTCAATTCCCTCCTTCCTAAGGGCACAGCCATACATTCCTACTGAAGTGCCAAGAAACTTTCCAGGACTCAACTCCCAGCCATCTTCCAAATCCCACTTGCAGTCCCATTCCAGTTATTATCTCTCTTGTATGAACTCTTTGGATTGGACATATTATGATGCCTTCCTCAGTTCCCAATCCTGCCTTTGCCTTTGGATGCTAGCTAGCCTTGTGT